TGAAAAAGTACATACTTCCCATTTTGTTACCTATATTTAGTTATAACAATTTATATATAATCTGTTATAAATATACAACTTTACAAATACTTTCTAAAGATGTCAAGATACACGTAAGAACCATTAAAAAATTTTTATATACTTGTAAAAGCGACGAAAATTAAAGTATACAATTTAAATAAAAAATTAAAAGAATTATTTATACGAGTAGTATTCATTATTTTAAATAACTACACTTCTGACTTATTTTTCTTATTTAATATTTTATATAAATTTCTGGAAACTATTTTATATTTTTTATTTTAAACAAGTCGTTATTTTAACAATCTACTTTTTACAAATTTCTATGATTTTGTATTTTAATTAAGTTTCTGAAGCTTACTTTATGTTTTATATTTTAAATAATTCATATGTTATTTTATCGGCGCGCGCGAGCCATGATTGGCATTATACGTAAGTTTAAAGAAACACAGATAATTTGCAGTAACAGTAGTGTCTTAAATTAATTTATTAACTGAAAAATTAAATAATGATTAACAAGATATTTAGTACTTTTAGCCAAAGCTGTAATTAGCACAAATTATTTTACGATATTAAGGAAATATGTATGTATCTTTAAATAAGGAACATATATAGAATATTCTATCAACATTTATTTAAATATGAATCATTAAAAGGAATAATAAAAATTGAGACATAATGTTGAAATATCAATAATACCCCACGTGAATAATTATTAATTACGTTTAAAAGAACCATGCAAGTAATATAGTATTGAACAAGTGCCAGAGATGCCAAAAGCAAAGCGCGAAATGTACTACGATAATAAGTACGAATAATTGAGTAAAGATTAATAATTGTATAATTGAAAAAAGATTATGTAAAAAAAACCACGCTAGTAAAAACCTCTTTTTACTTCTTGCCTCTTGACATAACATTGTTAATTGTATAATTAACACGAAATATTTGAAATAATAAAATAATATCAAATATGTTCCACCGATGTATAACAATGTAACAAAGGTGGGATATGATATTCTAATAAATAATTACCCGGAGCTCGACAACGATCGCGAACGTTCATCGACAAGATCGTGAGAAAATTCAATTGCCACACGCATTGTTGTACGCACGATCAATTCCGCGTCGTTGTCCTGAACAAGCATCGCAGACACTTGTCGCACTCGCGCGTTTGAATTCACGAAATTGACGACGAAAGACGCTATACGTTTGCGCGAGCAGCCGTGCTACGAATCGCGTAAATCCCGTACAACAGTGCACAACGCGCGGAATTTTCGATGGACTGTACGACCTACTGCCTAAAATACGATCTCGAAGGCCAAGACGGCGCATAACGAGTCAAAAATGAAATGCGTACCTGATAAATCCGATCCAATTACTCAGTCTTGCCTTTGTGTCCGAACAGTGAAGACGGAAAGTTCATCCGCGGCCGTTGCTGGACACTTTGAAGATCCATTGGCTAAGCATCCTCCGCTTTCGTTTTCTCCCTTTACTGCACCTGAAGCACATTACACATACATATGAGACTCAATACGTACGAAAATATATATTCATATAATTTCGACAAGTCAGGTCGACAAGAAACGCAAAATTCACCTCATTTAGCCTCCGGTATTCTGCGAACGCGGCTAACTTCGCGATTCCACTGTGCTCGATCGCAACGAAAAGCACGAAAGAGACGATCGAGAACATTCGTCGACAAGATCGCAAGTAAATCCGGCTTCCGCACGCATCACCTCACGCACAAATAAT